TATAAGAGCCCTGTCAATACAAGACTCTGCTTACAAGGAAATCTTTAGGTTCCAATCCTTTTGTTTTTCACTGTTTTTACTCCTGATAATACAAGGTTCCCATAATGACAACTTAATTTGCCAAAGGACCTCTTACTAACGAGGTTCGACTGTACCTTATAATAAAGAGTCATAGATATTTCAATTCTTTTATTGGAGGTATATTTATTTGCTTTTCCACAGTGTTATGGTAAAATTATACCCGGTAAGATATGGGACAGAGGGGTACCCCGCCCCACATGTCCAAACCCTATATATGTAGACACTCTAGGCTAGTAAAACAATGACCAATGCAAAAGGGGGGGTCTCTTCGTCCCATATCTTGCTTTAAGTGGGTAAAATAATAGTGTAAATTTATTACTAGGGGGAAAAGCAATATGCCTGTCAATATTGGAACTAATGGAGGGGCTGTAGCATCTCCTGCTTGTAGGTGTGAGTGGCAGTTCCTACATCTAGTGAACACTACTTCATGTTGCCATTTCGGAGCAAATGGCAATTTCCCAGACCCAAACGCCTTAGATTCTTGGACTGTAGCATGAGCCACGAGAACCGTTTCACAGTAAAGATCAGCCACTCAGACATTCATGATGAGATTGCACAAAATGATTTGTTCAGTTGACCCATCTGAAATTTCCTCATACAAGATCTTAAATGTTACATTTGCACGTAATTGGAAACTGGACGTTTGGTCGGAAAATTTACCAAAGCAAGTCCGCTGAAATGAAGATAGAACATACTTGCTTGCTGCATTTTCAAGTTGGTTTTTACCATAGGCGATTCACACTGAGGGCAGAAGCTTAATATCAATCGCTGATCATAATTACAGATGTTGTTTAGACAAGTACGTGTATACATTTCTTAAAAAAAATCAGCATTCAACTTGAACAAGTGAACTGGTTCATGTTGTTGGCGGTTGTTTCTTGGATTTCTTTGTTGACTTCACTTCTCTGGCGCCCGGTTTCTGGAAACCTGCTGTGTCAGTTTCCACGGACATTTCTGAAGTGTGTGAAGAGCCAGGCTGATGCATGCTGGTTGACTGGTTGGTTACCAAAGCCGGCGTCTCTTGCGCCGCACGGCGTCGCCGTTTGCTGAACTGCCTGTGAACTGTGATGGGAAGGGGGAAGGGGGAAAAGTCATTTGGAGGCTGAAAGCGGCAAGCATATGCAGCTCTCAGACACTAGGATGTGGAGAAAAACGGTGCCATACCATGCTCTGTCCTTTCCTTGCCAAACGAAAGTATAAAGAAATAACTAATAAAATGTGCAAGGGAACACCATTCTTCAAACAAAACAGGAGGAAGACGAGCAGTAATTCACAGAAATTTGGGTGCCACAAAAAATCAGGCATGTAAAGAGTTACAGAAACTGCTGTAAGGTGCTTTGATATTGAACAGGACCCTCCTTCGTAGAAGTCACTCTAGAACCGGCTTGATGTGCCGTCTTGTCATCATACCTGGTGCATGTGACGTCACATCAACGAGTCTCATCCCGTCCCTCTCTCCGCCGACAGCAAAGATGAAGGGGGAGTTGGGACTGCAGTGCACACAGTTGACGGTACCCATCTTGGGGTCCTTGGACACAATCAGGGAAGGCTTGTTGTCCTGAACAACAGAAAAACAATACATGTATAAACATGTGATTCATCAGGATGATGCTGCTCAAAAGTCATCTAAACTTGATTCGAATAAAGATAAACAAAACATGAAGATACTAGAGGGTTCTGACAATCAATAATCGTCGTTACAAAATGGCAAATATTAACAAACTTAATAGGAGCCACTGGAGAGAAAGTGGCAAAGGTGGTCATTTCACTAAAATACTGGCTACTTTGCCAGCTGGAACCAAGACTAGATACATATATT